TGTTGAAGTAAAGATGCAAGGCTCTGGTCCGAGCTTGGGATCTGTGTAGAAGCCCACACCAAACCCGTCGCCGTTGACAGGACGGCGATTGTCCTTGATACTACATGTCAGTGGGTTGCGATATGCTAACCACGTGGGTCTGACTCAGCGAGATGGGACAACCTACCAGTCGAAGGCGTGAATCGTATGACTGAGTGAGGATTGAATGACTTGGCTCGGTTATCAGCTTACTGAGGCGGATCTCATTTCGCCCCTTGTATATCTGATCAAGATATTAGCGTTGCGCCCAATGGGTGGAGGGATGGACCTTACCAAGAATCGACACATATTTGGTCTGGATTATATGCAATTGGAGCGACAGACAGTATGTCAAATTTCACTTTCGACTTTACTAACGGCCTTCAAGATTTACACTAAACTTGTAGTTTGAACAAGCCCGTAGTCGTGTCAAAGGGCGTATGGGGTCGGGGCGGAGGAAGAGTCACCGACTGTTGAGAACCGGTGAGATGCCCAAACGTCAGCCACGACCTTACAGCCCGACAATAATATATTCGAGACGTAATTTTGCCAGGGATTACAAGGAAGGAAGGATGTTTTTATCGAAATCAACACAAAAGAATAAAGTCACTTCCCTTGCACAGCACGTCATATCCCACGTGACTAAGATATTACGGGAGGCTACGCGGCTACTTGCGCAAGTCACGGGGGTTGTTAGTTATGCTTAATGTCACATGTGCAGTGGTCCGGTAATCTACAAGGTCATCACTTTTATTTCCATTTTCTATTGAATGCTACCACAACAATAATGAGTGGGAGGATACTCTCCCATCGACTAGGACCGCTATTGCGGAACGGTCACTTAACCCGCCATATCCATAATGCAGGCTCGAGGACCGGCGGCCTGTTACGCGCAGACGGTGGTGCCGCCCTCCGAGGACGCGCATGGCCAGTGGGCTCAAATGCCATCCACAATGTCCCTGCTGTTCGATCAATCTCATTTGCTCGAATGCTTCCGAAGCTGGCATTGAAGCTTGCCAGGGTTCCGGCTATGTTCGGCGGTGCGACAATAGCGGGTCTAGCTTATTTCCAATACCAAGCAACTCGTATGTTTCTCATAGATGAAGCTCGTTGAAAGTGGAATTTCAAGCTGATTTAATTCTCACAGAGGCCGGTAACTATGCGATGGATGTCTTCCGACAAGCCTCGGAGACTGCGGGGAACACAGCTTCGACCTTGTTCGAAGGACTGCAGGACATAGCGGATCAGACACAACGCGGGTGGAATAAGACGACCGAAGACATCGAAATTCCTGACTGGCTGCAGAAGATCCTACGTCTCGACGAGGAGTCTGAGTCTCGAAAGGGCGATTCATCTGGTGGTGAAGGCAAAGAGCCGAAACAAAGTCGGGCTGGTACTGCTGCCGCTGCCGCCGCTACCACTACGGCGTTCGGATACGATCAATCTGGAGAGGAAGATTCACGACCGGCGAGAGATGCTGCGGAGGATGATCAAATGATGCTGCTCACACGCAAAATGATCGAAATCCGAAATATTCTCCAGACCATCGGCCAGTCCGGCACCCTCACTCTTCCGTCGATCGTCGTGATTGGATCCCAATCGTCGGGCAAAAGCTCGGTTCTAGAGGCTATCGTCGGCCATGAGTTCTTGCCCAAGGGCTCCAACATGGTGACTCGGCGGCCAATCGAGCTTACGTTGGTCAACACTCCCAATGCTCAGGCAGAATACGGTGAATTCCCGGCTCTCGGTCTCGGAAAGATGACAGATTTTTCCCAGGTTCAGCGCACACTCACAGATCTGAACCTTGCTGTTCCTGAAAAGGACTGTGTCACAGACGATCCCATTCAGCTTACGATATATTCTCCCAATGTTCCGGATCTATCTTTGATCGACCTGCCGGGATATATTCAGGTTGCGGGCCGAGATCAGCCCCCAGAGCTCAAACAAAAGATTGCCGATCTTTGCGACAAATACATTCAACCTCCAAATGTCATTTTGGCGATCTCGGCCGCCGACGTTGACTTGGCAAATTCGACAGCACTTCGAGCCAGTCGTCGAGTTGACCCTCGGGGTGAACGGACTATCGGTGTGATTACGAAGATGGACCTTGTCAGCCCCGAACGTGGCCACGATGTCCTTTCCGATAAAAAGTACCCCCTTCGGCTAGGTTACGTGGGTGTTGTTACCCGGATCCCTCAGACAACAGCTCTCTTTTCTAGGGGCTCTGGAAACATTACCAGCGCCATTCTCAAGAATGAACATGCCTACTTCTCTGCGCATCAGAATGAATTCGGTCCCCGCTCTGACGTCTCAGTTGGTGTTTCGACACTGCGGAAAACGCTGATGCAGGTTCTTGAGCAAACTATGTCATCTAGTCTGTCTGGAACCAGAGACGCCATCACCCAAGAGCTTGAGGAGGCAACATATGAGTTCAAGGTCCAATATAATGACCGACCTTTAAGCGCGGAGTCCCACTTGGCTGAGAGCCTGGATGGTTTCAAGCACTCCTTCAAGGCGTTCGCGGAAAGCTTCGGGCGACCGCAGGTTCGGGAGATGCTCAAGGCAGAATTGGACCAGCGGGTCATGGACATTCTGGCGCAACGCTACTGGAACAAACCAGTCGAGGACTTGGATCCTCCAATGTTGGAATTGGATCCCCTCAAGGATCTTCCCAAGGCCGATCCTGAGTCGCTATATTGGCACCGGAAGCTTGATGCTTCTACCTCGTCATTAACAAAGCTTGGAATTGGTCGGTTGGCTACGACTGTTGTCGCCAATGCTCTCCACAACCATGTGGAGTCGCTCCTGGCCTCGTCTACGTTCGCCTCCCACCCTGGTGCCCACAAACAGATAACAGATGCATGCACCAGTATCCTGAATGACAAATTCTTCAGCACCAGCGACCAGGTCGAAAATTGCATCAAGCCATATAAGTTTGAGATCGAGATCGAAGATCCCGAATGGGCTAAGGGCCGAGACAATGTGGGTAAAGTCCTAAAGGAAGAGCTCAGGTCATGCGAGTTGGCCATGAAGCATGTGGAAGATGTTGTCGGAAAGCGGAAACTCAAAGACGTTATATCGTTTATCGACAGAGTGCGAAAGGGCGAAGTAGTACTAGAGGGCAACGGCGAGGGTGGTGCGGGCGGCTTCAGTGCCGCCTTGTTGGAGAGAGGTTGGTATTTACCTCTTTCTTCTCTTGCAGACACTGACGTATATTATCTAGGACGAGAAGGCCTCTTCCTTCGGGACCGAGCAGATCTTATCAAGATGAGACTTCTCGCCGTCCGGTCCAAGCAATGCGCAACGCAAAAGAACAAGTACTACTGCCCCGAGGTCTTCCTGGATGTTGTGGCAGATAAACTCACCTCCACGGCCGTGCTATTCCTCAACGTCGAGCTCTTATCTGAGTTCTACTATAATTTCCCACGTGAGCTTGATTCAAGACTCGGACGACACCTTTCAGACATCGAGGTCGAGCGGTTTGCCCGCGAGGATCCTCGCATCCGCCGTCACCTCGATATCATCCGTAAGAAGGAGCTGCTGGAGCTGGCTCTACAGAAGATCGAAGGCATCCGGCAGCTTGACGGCCGCGCCCGGAAACCAGAGCGTGCGCCTCCTGGAAAGGAAACGCGGAGCCGTTGGAACCTTTTCTAGAAGATGTGATGTTTGGGCTTTCTGACTATTCCCCCTACTGCCTGTGCGAAACAGCTGTTTTCCCTTCTTGATCTGGATTTTCGATACCTCTGCTATTGTTCTCGTCACTCTCTTTATCCTGTTTAGCCGTCTTCTCTTGGCCTTCCTCTTGGGATAGTATGTATCTCAAAATGTTTCGAAGTCAATGTACATAGCTCTAGACCGTTCCTCACACAATCGGTAATCTATTCCTTGAATCTGTATCCTTTCTCCGTTCTTGAACTGTAGATCCTAGCTACCCCGGAGTTTGGCCGGAAGTACCTGGCCTCCATATGTATGAACATACGAGACTTCCTATTAAAAGGCTGAATTACACAAATCCCATGTACTCCATGGACAGTGCTCCTTGTCCCCAGTCGGTGATGATTTGCTTGATCTTCTCCAAACCATGAAGGATGCGCACAAGGGTGTTACCATCGCGAGCCCAAAGATAGTATGTGTCATTTGATTCAAACAAGGGGTCGTTCCAATCTTGAGACACAAACACCGGCACGCAATTAGTGAGGCCATACATATTGGTCATGAGCTTTTGAGCACCGTGTTCTCCCTTCCATTCATCGTAGTTAAGCCCCTTTGGATCACTGGAGAATCCAAGAGGGTCAGTCGTGGCCCACTGTTATCATCAGCCACAGCTTTAATAGAAAGGGAATGATAGACTTACCCGTGTTGGTTTTGTGCCGTTCTGAGGCTCTTCCCGCCAACGTGAACTCCCTGACTCCCGGGTGGAGGCTCAGCTTCTTCAATAACTACAGTCTTTGGCTTTAGACCAGCAAGCCTTCTAGATCGGCGAGTAGGCTTCCGATTAGGTCAGCCTCGTCCATAGCAGCATATTCGGGTCAGCCTCACCGGAAAATTGACTCTTTTGGGGTTTGGTAGTTTTGATTTCTTTGGAAGCCATTTTCGTAGGGTGGGAATGGAGAAATGGGCAAGCTGTTGATGGCGTGAGCATAACCGTCAATAGAGATATTCTGGCCTATATAAGAAAGGCTCATGATAGGTCTGAAACAAAGAAATCACGCATGTCTATAAGGTATAGATGATTTACTTTGCTGCTTTGTTTGATCTTTCATAATGCCTCTTCCTGTTATTGTTCGACTATTTCTATTTATGTCAGTCAGATAGATCTATAATTGTACACCTTTGATCTTCATAATCCCAAGATATCCAACGACCTTTCTCCTTGATAATCTATTTCGTGCACAATCGAATCTTTCATGACAACTAATGTCATGTCCTCGGGGTCCTTTGACAAAGGAACGAATCCCTAGTATGGAATGATTATTTAGACGATGGCTCTCCTACAAAGCTACCTAGGAGAATACAATAATCGCAATGTCAACAGCCCGATGACACCTTCCACCGAGGCATATTTGCCGGCTTATAATGGTCAACTGAACTTGGCGAGTGCATTCGTTTGGAGCGTAACACGAGTGAGTTGCTGCGACTGTCAATTTCTTCATTTTTCTCGGGATTTGATGAACTAACTATGCGCAGATTCAAGTTTTCATGATCGAGGTTATAGACAATCCTTCTACCTACGGGGTGGAACGGAAGGTCGAATCAGAATTGAAAAGACTACGTACCGATATTGTCGATCTCAGGTGAGTTGCATGTCCATTAGGCCCTGTGTTCTGTCAACTAATCGGATTCTTGCAGCCAAAAGGGGAGCAAGTATCAGTCTGAGGCCTCCTGCCCCCAAGCTATTTCGAGGATAGTTAACCCAGCAGGGGCTAGCAAGGATGAATCATACCTTTTGTTGGATACAATGACATATGAAGGTCTTCCATATTGGTGCTCCTTTGACCTTCTAGGTAGGTTCCTTTCCATTATTAGTCCAGCACCCCAGGGCGCCACACATCACAATTTCTACTTACCTCTGACGTTAATGTATGCCAATTGGTGTCGCAAGATAGCTCCGAAGGCCCCCTGGATGTATTCGTGCGCCTGGGCAGGGGGAAAGGACAAGCAGAGCCGCTTTCACCTGGGAGCATCGCTCGGCGGATATAGCCTTCCTAAGGAGCAGGGCGGCCGCTGGGTCAGCATTCTGCAACAAGCCCGTTTCGATATTCTTCGCGATGAAAGAACTGACGCAGTGGGACTAACAATCCAGTCTTCAACTTTAAGGAGTTCGAAACGCAAACCCATTCCGTATGGAAACTGCGCGGAAACCTATCCTCTCGTGCACCTTCTGCGGTAAGTCCATACCTTTTGAGATCCTATACGTCCCATACTAACGAAATAGGAACCGTGACCCTAGCGAGGAGGTGTACGGTCTTGCAGTGATGCTTAGAAAACTACCCGAAGCTGCATACAACCACCCGCAAGCATTGGATACATTGGTGAGACCTTGCAGTAATTGTCAAGATGTGATAGGCATTTGGGGTGGGAAAGTAGAGAACTTCATCACAGATGATATGCCGGAGAATAGTACCACTGCATCTTCAGGAGTGCAATCGCCTATATCACCATGTCCTGACCCGAGAGCATCCGGATTCGCTTTACCGACCCGTATTAAATGGCCTTCGCCAGAGGACGACACAGCCGAACCTGCGGCGAAAAGGGTTAAAGGCCCGGCGCCTGAGATTTCTAGAAAACCATCTCATTTGGCCAAGCGAAAAGATAAACCGCAGTGAAGATGTAGGGATTTGTAAAGTTAAAAAGTACTCTTGCCGTTGTTGTATATTATCTATATAGCTTACTAGTTAATATTTGATATTGAAACCACACAAACGTGATCATTCAAATGAATCTGTAATGTTCTTAATATCCTTAGTAGACTTTATTTATCGAGCTTGGTGTCCGTAGGCGAAAGAAGCCAGGAGCATTCAATTCTGAGAAGCAACCAGAAAATTTTGAACGAAGCTAGTTTCAACAATATTGAGATATTCATCGCGGCTAAATACGATCGAAGACTCCGGCTACCCTGAAGTTCTCTCGATGGGCGAATACAAATTGCAGCTCTCCGCATGTTGATGTGTCAACAGATTAATGTAACCAAGCCCATATATATGCGGTCATTAGATCTGTGAGGCTTGCTAATAGAACACTCCTTGCACCATATGTAATGGTCTTCGTTCCTTATTCTTATGGTAAAGATATAGCAGATTTGGCCAAATTTCGTTGGGAGCATTCTGATAGATATAGCTGAAGTTACTCTGCGCCATATCCGAGATAAGAGTATAGCTGTCATAGAAAATCAATAAGGGTATATCCTGGAAGAGCTTTTCGCCAAACTTACACCCACCACCGACAGCCTGAGCCCCCTCCAGGCATCCGATATCTACCACGTCCACGGCTATAAATAAGGCGTGCGATGGACGAAACAGAAATCCTTGCCACAGCCAGGAAGTCCCAGTACCCGATGGCGGATGTAGTTTGAGTATATCCAAGTTTCGTCCACTCGAGGATACCTATTAGTGTGACGATCTGCAGGATGATGCCTGGTTCCTAGGGCATCTATGTATCCTAGGTATATGTATGTCACCTGATTACCTTTGTGTATTTAGATCTCCTTCCTGCGTCTCTCCTTCTTTCCTTCCTCCTCTATGCTTAGTTGCTTCATTTGAATGCTACCATGTTGATTTGATATCCTCGTGCCTGAGCTTAACAATTAGGTCGTCAAATTCAGCCCTTATGTTAATGTGAGTGGATGACACGCCATCGGGATAGATCAAATAGATTGACCAATGGTTGTCACTGGTATTAGGACCGCCTACACCAAGGTGTGTACCACACGCGGGCGCAAGTGACTAGTGTGGTGTCCGCTTAAACCACCTGCGGGGCCAATGGAGGCGGCATTGTATAAAGACAGCTGTTGTAATAATAAAGTAGAACAACCTATCAAGCAACGAGAGCAGTTCAACCGAGAGCCTCTTCGATAGGCTTCTTGTCCCAATTTATAAGGATATAAGAGATTGAAAGGGCGAGGGACTATAGCATTTCATCATTGCGCAACTCCAGGCACAAGTCACTCGCATCCATCTAAACGGGTACATCAATCCGAAGGACGAGGTGACGAAGATGGAAACCCTCTAACCGACCATTGGGCTGCTTTTCTGGAACTAGCTAAAGGTGGCTCTGTTAGACTCGACATGATGTCTGGATATGGCTCAGACGGATTGAGGGGGAAAGTAGAGATATCTTCCAAGCCTTACACGTCGACCAATAACGCAATCAAGACTTTGACCTTCAGTGTGGAAGCACACGCCACAGTTCAGACCATCACCGACTTGATCAACTCGAAGGGGCGCGATAGATACAAATTAACCGCAGAGTGGGAGGGATGCAGATTCTGGATCTATACCTTCATTAAAGATCTAGAATCTGTTGGTCTCACACCGGGAAGAAGTGGGAAAACTGTCTGGGAGGGTGTGGCTTACTACTGGCGCACTCCTAGCGGGTCCGAGCCCAGGGAAGTCAAGCAGGGAGTGTTTTACTAGGAGGCAGTTGTTACTGTTCATGTTGATAAGACAAGGAATTTCGATCCTCTCCATATTGTGTAATCTTTGACTGCCATCCATGGATATCACGCAGCCCTCTTATAGTACATACCGGAAACCCTTGTTCTCGAACTCGGTCTGATCCTGCATCCCAGCTTCTTTACTTTGAGCCCTATCCGCGAGCCCGTAGTGTGAATTGTGATACCGACCGACCCAGAACATATAAACTGTCATTATCAGCACATAGTCCAAAATACAAAGATCCTCATATCATCACACCCAGTAAAGCCAGCTAACAAGTGGCTTTGACCAAATACCCAACCAGCAGACCTACGGTGACACCCTTGTACTTGGGCACAGTTGCCCCAGCAGTAGGCGGTGCTGCTTGGTGTCAGCCATATATATATATGAACACGACCTAGGTCGTTTCTGCAGCCCAGAAGACAAAACTTACCATACCATGGCATCGACCATTTGATGGTTATAACTCGCCGTATCTTTCAGATTATCTTTGGTCCAATTCGGTGAGGGTACATGGATGTTGGACTTGGTACGAGGACTTCAGTTGCCGATGGGAGATCTGAACCTCAATGTGGTCTATGGGCTGAGAAAAAAACAAGGAGGTGCAAAGCTGGGATGTGTGCGGGCAGAACGTGAGAGTACAGGACCCGCTTGGATACCCTCTTCCGGATGACGATGAGCCAGATCTGGGATATTGAGCCGCAGAATAGAGAAAGGAATGTCGCCCAGCCAGTAAGAGGTGAAACCTAACCACGCAGTGTGGTGGCCCCACTGTCCGAGGAAGAAAGATAACACACAGGATGAATATGACAGGTTCAATACGACAATCCCAGACCCAGTCTATATATTCCTCTAGCATACAGTACAGTGTGAAAAGAAACAGAAAGCGAAACAAAGAAGATGCGAATTAATGCTTTTGTCTCTGGGTGGAACCAATCGCAGCACCAACGGTGAGGTATGAGAAAAAGATGGAAAATGGATATGTCTATCACGGTCACAGGTGCGAAGAGAAATAAAGACAAGGACAGTGAGGGGATGGCATAAGGGTGGCGTAGCGGGGCACATTACACAGTCAATGTGTCAGGAAAGGCATTGAATAACCAAAAGGAAAATGTAGTGTGGCTGGCAATATTACAAGAAGTCATCGAAACCGGGTGCAGATATTTACTCCCGGGAGACATCACGGCCGAAGAGACGAGCCTTGACCCAGTCGACGCAGACAAGGACGCGGTTGCGAGCTAGATTATATGTTAGTAATTAATCTCAATCGGCGGTTGTAATAAAGTTGGAACTTACTGCTGAAGCACATGCTCAGGTAGGCACTGCGCCAGAACAGGTAGGTCATAGTACCACCGCTGGCGATGTTGCCGCTCAGCCAGCTGATATCGGCCACGGCACGCTCCTTACCGATGTAGGCCAAGGAGCCCTGGTGCGAGTACTGGAATGGACCGATCTGCTTGTTACGGCGGAGCTGCTTCTGGCGCTCACGGATCTCGTCGAAAATCTGGTTGCGCTCCTCGTCGCCCTTGGCCTGGGACTGGCGCTCAGAGAGGGTCTCCAACTCCTTCTCGAGAGCCTCTGCCTTGGCCATGGTGTTGAACAGGCGGCCCAAGAAGGCACCCTCCTGGCTAGCAACCTGGGCGGTCGGGGCGTAGTTGGCAATGGCGCAGTCACCGACGGCCCAGACGTTATCGGTACCGTTCACGACGAGGTATTCGTTGACAGCGAGACCGCGGCGGGACTCGGCCTGAGCGGGGATCTGGGACATGAGGTCGCGAACGACGCCGCGGATGGCGTTACCGGTGGCCCAGACGAGAAGACCATAGGGGATAGTCTCAAGCTCCTTGGATCCGTCGGGCTTGGTCACCTCGGCCTGGATGTACTTGTCGGTGACCTTCTTGACCATGGTCTTGGTGCGGATGGAGATCTCCTCCTCCTTGAAGGTCGATTCGGTGTAATCAATCAGTTGCTTGGAGAACATGGGAAGGACGTTGGGCAGAGCCTCGACGAGAGTGACGTGGAAGTTGTCCTTGATCTCGGGAATCCACTTCTTCAAGTCATCGTTGAAGAAGTCCTGCAGTTCACCGGCGAATTCAACACCAGTGGGGCCACCGCCCACCACAACCATGTGCAGCAGACGCTTGACCTCTTCCTCGGTCTGATCCTTGAAACAGGCAGTCTCGATACAGTCCATAATACGCTTACGGATGTTCTGGGCGTCACCGACTTCCTTCAGGAAGCAGGAGTTCTCACGAACACCGGGAATACCTATACGTCACAAAAATTAGTCCAAAATGCATCGTTGTAGATGCAAGAGAGGATCGCACCAAAAGTCGCGTTCTCGGCACCAACGCCGATCACAAGCATGTCGAAGGGAACCTCGGTGTGCGAGATATCACCCTTAACTTCCGAATCATCACTGATATACACAATACGCTTCTCGTAGTCGATCTTGGTGGCTTCGGCTTCGTAGAACTGAACACTGGCCTTCTTGTGGCGCAAAATGTTTCGGATAGGCTCCATGATCGAGCGGTGCTCGATCAAACCGGTGGTACATGAGGGCAGCAAGGGGGTGAAAAGGAAGTAGTTACGGGGAGAGACGACGATAACGTTGTAGTTCTCGGTGTCAATCTTCTTCAGGAGGGAAACGGAGCCCCAGCCAGTTCCTGAACGAACATAGTCGCGTTAGCGACACTTCGGCCGTAGGGGATCAACGATCGCGACCGACACATACCGAGAATGACCAGAGTCTTCTTTGATGGGTCAGGCGTGGCCTGGTCCGGGGGTTGACGGAGCTCGAAGATGCTGTATGCGACAGTACCGGTAAGACCGATGGCAGAGAGCCAGGTCAACCGCCAGGCCCAACGCAGAGCTCTGAAACGCTTCTTAGGTTTCGGGGTGGGCGAAGGGGCAGCATCGGCGTAGCCACGACGAGCAATACGCGATACAGACTGGGAAACTTTGGTAGACCGCATCGGCTTTGCGCGAAGGGCCAGCTGCGATGTCGACATCGATCTGCGCGTCATCGACGACAGCTGCAAGATGGACGGAGCCATCTTGCGAATTGCTAGCGTACTGCCAGCCATTGTAAGAGGGCGTACCAAAGGTAGCAAAGGAAATGCAAATGGGATGGAAGATCAAGGGTGACTGAATAATTTATGAAGAAAAAAAAAAGATTTGATAAGCTCCATCATTGAGTTGCTGCTTTAGGCGAATCGGTGTAGCCGGACCAAAGGGGGTAGCCATGTATCTAGTACTTGGCTGATTGCGTGATGTATGTAGTAAACCTAGGTACTCTGTACATTTCCCTTTCTATTTTCTGCCAATTCGACTATTCAATTACTATTTGCGAGTATATGAGCTGCTCTAACATCTAAGCTCTTAGCATATATAATATTAAAATGATAGTAAACTGGTGATTATTCCCCAGACGAGCTATAATAACCGCCTAAGTGCTTAAAATCACAAGCCAAAAGGGAAAAAAAAAGAGGAAAAATAAAATTGGAGAACTGAGGGGACAAGCCGGTGAGGAGAAAATTACCCGGGGAACTTCAAACTCGGCCTATCGGTCAATGTTTTGGGGTAAAATTATATACAATAACTTTGATATTGAATCATTGGATTGATATTCGAATTGATATCTGACATAAAACAATAACCCCCCATCACTAACGATATTCCCCCTTTCCTCCCCGCTCCAACTCCCAAGCCCTACGACATTCCCCGACCATTGACCGGTATTACCCGCATATCTATTCCGCGCAATTTGGCTCTCTCTATAGTTCTATATGGTAATCTCTGAAGGTACCCGCGCTACAGCTATCTCTGGTAAAATCCGGGGAAGTTCGAAGCTCCACTTTCATCGATGGTCCGGTTTCTCCCATCCAACCTTAGGAATCCCGATGGGCCTGAGTATACACATCATAGGAAACGTCGGCCAAAATCGGCCTGTCATCGTCTGTTGGAGTTTAATTGCACTCGTGACGTGCTGAATCCGCAGCACTCCCGGTCTTTCTCGTGTCAATTGCAAGTTGTATTGTGTGACCGACAATTCTTCGCCGTCTGTTTCCCGCTGATACTTCATTTCTTGCGGGGATTTGATAGCTATCAGCTCCGATATGGCGCATCATGGAAAGAGAGTCTGCTCGCTGGGGAGCAGCTAGGGGTTTCGGCGCTTCAGATGTAAGTATAAGTGAGACCAAGAAAAGTACTCGGAGGTGAGGTCAACATCAGACGTCCTTTTCATAGTGCAAGCAATATGACAACTTGAACATTGACCCAGGAGCTTCCTTTTCATTTGTCAATCCAATGTTTACATAAAATGATATGCTCATTTATGCTTATAAAACCGAAAGACCCACGAGGGCCGTCGATTGATTCGAGGCATGTTAAGGCTATGGTAGTGCCATATGACCACCACAGATCCATCTCCAGAGCGTCAGCGAAACTTGTATTACGCATAAGCCAGGATATCAACCGAGACAGTATGACCCGATGTGACAGACACTCAAATATTAAGAGCAATGCTAACTTTGCGATTAGCAAGATAATATCATATCTAACCTCACAAAGATAGAATATCGTCCGCGAGACCCGACGTCAGCACGAACATAGAAGTGACAAGCTCAAACGACCAAAAGGCTGATGTGGTATGATATGATACGCCTATCGCAATATAACCGAACGGGGATCACGAGCCCTCTTATAGACAACGAAGACAAGCAGTCCACGTCCCCTGACCCAAACCAGAAAATGAATAACACATCCAAACCCGTTCAAGAACACTCTGGCAGCAATACCAGAGCCTAGATACAATAAATTCTACACGTATCGACGAGCGACAGCCTGGGTGGATTTCAAACATGACGGCGTTAACAAATGCCCGCCTATCCGTCCACTGAGTATGCAAGTAAGCAGTGCTGGGAGCCTGTAACTGGCGAGTCTGTCTATTGAGTAGGCTGAAGCCCTACTTGACGAGT